CAAGAAAACAAAGGAAAATTGATAATATTTAACTTGGATTTTTTTAATGTTTTTGTCCATGTAATTAATGACAATTGTTTTTATTTTTAATAAATATAAATAAATTTTAATAATTAAAAATAAAAAAATTTATATTTGAGTAAATCTTTATACATAATTTCTTCCAATTAACCCAATCCAACTAAAAAACTTATATTTTACTGTGAAAAGAATAACTGGATTGAGATATCTTAATTTTGATGTACAAAAATATAGAAAAGTACCGTGCAAGGTTATTAATTTTGTACTGTGCCTATGGGTACCACCGGCACATATTGGATTGGGCTTTTAGTGCGAAAAGAATAAGTAGATAGAAAATCTTAATTTTGATAATAAAAATATAGAAGAGTACTGTGAAAGGTTATGAATTTTGTACAACACTTGTTGGTACCACTGGTACATACTAGAATAAGCTTTTAGTGCAAAAAGAATAATTATATAGAGATATATTAGATATCTTAATTTTGATTATAAAAATATAGAAAAACACTATGCAAGATTATCAATATCGTACAATAACTATTGGTACCACCTTTACATATTGAAATATGCATAAAATTGGTATATACCTAATTAGGCATAAAGCTGGTACATACCTACTCTCTTATGCTATCATGTCGCATCAATAGCATATTAATCTCCAACATGTCTTCCCTTCCATCGTCATTCGTAAAACCCTTCTATACCCCCTCTTCCCCCTTCACCATTAATGCACCTCCACCTACTTCCTTGGCTCCTGTTAATCTATCTCATCTTCCTTCCTCTCCTGTTGGCCACCCTAAAGCTTCCTATAAAGAAAAGCTTGTTGGAGTTTCATCTATCCTTGTTGCCCAATCCTTTTACCCACCCACCTCTTCACAAATCCTATCATTTTCTCCAACTTCATCCCATAATGCCCTATCTAACCCCCTCTTCCCACCCCAAACCCCTTTGCCCATTGGAATTGCTTTGCTATTACCCTTTATTAAGCGGAAAAGGCTAAGAGGAAAAGGAATAGTTTTCTCGCCCATGGAAACTTAGCATCATTGTTAAACCTTTTAACCCTTAGATGGAATTCTCTTATGTTGTTGAAAGGCTCAAGAATACTTGGAAATTCTACGCCCTATTTGATGTCATCGACCTTGACAAAGGGTTCCTCCTTATCAAGCTCTCATGTAAGGATGACCTTACCACTATCTTTAAGAAAGGGCCTTCCTTGGTTCATTAGGTCTCGCTTCTTCTTTGTCCACCATTGTGTCCCTAACTTTCGACCCAAATCAACAACCCCTTTAACCATTGCCATTTGGTTGAGGCTTCTATAGCTTCCTAGTGAACTCTTCACCCTATAATTTTAAAACATATTGGTGACTCCATTGGAACCTTCCTCGGAATTGACGCTATCACTCTTCAGGTCAAGGGGCCATTTTGCCTACTTATGTGTTGAATTTGATCTAAACCAACCCTTCCCATCATCCTTCACCATTGATGGTTTCTATCCAAAAATCACCTTTGAGAGTGTCCATTGCCTATGTTTTTCTTATGGCAAAATTAGCCATAAAAAACACCAATGCCCCAACACTCTTTGCTCTAAACCATCTTCACATACCCCTCAGCCACCTATTCTCTCAAAAGATGCATATGATGACTATTTTCTAGTTCCCAAATGTCATTGCCACAAAAATTACCATGTTGGAAATCATCCCCTTACAACCAACCCCAAAAACTTGTCCACATCTCGCCCTTCAACCCTATCCATTGCTTGCCCACAAGTAGGCAAATCCCCTTTTGAATTTCAAATTCAAAGTGTTGGACCCAATTCGGTCCAACAGCCTTCCCTCTAAGTGGCCCAAAACCTCTCAACGGATTCCTCTCTCTCCCTCAATCCATCTTCATGCAAGTCTCTTTCAACCCTTTCAACTTCACCCCCACCACCTTTATTTCTGTGTCTTCTCCTTTTGCTCACCTTTTCATCTCATTTGTTTTGAACAATCCATCACCTTATGTTCTTGCTTTGACCTCTTTTACCCATTCTAATGTTATTCTCCCTCTTATCTCATCCCTTATTTCACCTTTTCATGCTTTTCTCAACAACCTAAGCTCTAACACCTTTTTTTGGCACTCCCATCCTCCATTTTGCTTTCTCCTCCTCCTCCTCTTACCCATTCCCCTTCATGTAAAGCTCTTTTCAAACCTACCCCCTCTTGTCCTTGTTTCCATCCAACAATGGCCAACCAAACAACTTACCTAACTATACATTTCTCCATCTACAACCTTCCGTGAGAGGACCAAATCCTCTTCTGTAACAACCTTCGGGACTTTCATGCCTATCAATTAGGCTTCACGGCCATCTGGAGCTAGTTACCCCAAGAGATCTGAGACCATGCTTTAATTACATACATGGCAAAACAGTTCTTTGTTTTGGAAACCTACTTGGTATACCCTCAAATTCTCAAAATGTCATTGGTGAACCTCACAGGCCTAGACACCTCTTATTTGAGCACTTAGTTAGATTTATTCTCCCCTCCTCAAATCTAGATCATAGGAAGTCTAACACTTGCAATGATCCAAACAATATGGTTAAGGGAACATAGAATAACCATGGAGTGGGTAACAATGGGCTTTGTGCTCCTCTAGATGTAAAACTTATATTCCAATCTTTGGCTCTTAAAGACATCCACAATCAAGATGGCAACCTTGATGAGTCACAAAGTAACTTCTGCAACCTACAAGACTCACTTCCTTGCAAATCATCCAATAAAAGTTAAAAGGCATCTGGATAACAATTTGATGGCCTTTGCCTAAGCAATCACTTCGATAAGTCACATGCATATTTGCGTCGAGTCCTTCAGTTTGCACAAAATAGAAACAATAGGGCTAGACATGGAACCTACGTGGGAGGAAATAGCAAGGGAATTAAAGAGAGCAAGCTGGGCTCCTTGCACTTGGATGCTCTTAGGTCAGTAACTTAGCTCCAAAATCTCCATTGACTTCCCTAAATGCAACTTAATGTCAATCCTTTATTGGAACGTTTGGGGTGTAGGAAATCCTACATTCTTGTGTAATATTTGAGATTTAATTTTTAGGTTCACCCACTCCATCCTTATCTTCTCTGAAACTCCGATTAGTTGTCAACAAACAAATGCCTTCATGCAATAAATTACGAATGGCTTTGAGGGCCAATATGCTATGGATCCCATTGGGTATGATGGAGGAATTTGGATCATGTGGCACACTACTGTTGTGCAAGTTACCCTTTTTGCCATTGCCCAAGAAATCTATGCCATGGTATGTTTTTCTCACTATGCTACTAGTTGGTTACTCTCTACTTTATATGCTAGACCAAGTTTTCATGAAAGGTTATGGGTGTGTGATAAGCTTGTTTCTATCTTTTTTTCTACAACACATAATCTTCTTTGGCTTCTCATAAGAGATTTCAATGAGAAGCTCACTAACTCTAATAAGGGAAATGGTAACCCCATCTCTCAACACAAGACTAGGCTCTTTAAAAATGGCCTTAACTCTTGCCATCTCTAGATCTCAGTTTCTTTGGCCTTAAGTTCACATGGTCCAACAAAAGACCTTTCTCCCAACTCATCCAAGCAAGGCTTAACAGGGCCTTTGCGAATCCCTTATGGAACCTTATTTACCTTCTTACCTCTATTAGACATCTCCCACACACACACTCTGACCATTCTCCTATACATACCTTAGTTACCCCTCCTTCTTTCAACCTTGGTAATAAACCATTTTGCTTCAAAACCATGTGGATGTAACACCGTAAGTTCCCAAGTATGGTCAACAATTTTTGGGCCACTAATAATGAACTTGTTCACAAAGCACTTTCCTGATTTGGACCCTTACTTGCTTCATGGAACTACCATGTTTTTGCTAACCCTTTTAAAAGAAAAAAGAGGCTTCTTGCTTGACTTGAGGGCATTGAAAAAGCCCTTTCCCTCCCACAACTCTCATAACCTTATTCTCTTTCAAAAAGACCTCACTCATGAATATCAAACTATTGTTCGTGAGGAGGAAAACCTTTGGAAAATGAAATCCCGCATTATCTGGTTATGATGGGGACTACAACTCCAAATTCTTTCAGTTAAGTGTCATATCTCGAAGGAAAGCTAACAGAATCCTTTTCATTTGTGATGATAATAATAATGAGATTGTCTCATCTATTGACATCTGTGACTTCATTGGAGCATCTTTCAAAAATCTCTTTACATCCACCAAATCCTCTTGTCCCTTGACCTCTACCCTTGATCAAAATTGGTCTTTATCTTTTCACTCTTTTCTTTCAAATCCATCCCTTTGCTCAATACCCTCTGAGCAAGAGATTCTCAAGACCCCTATGTCATTCCACCCACTCAAAGCAATGGGTCGTGATGGCCTCCATGCCATATTTTTCCAAAAATTTTGGGACTCTGTTAAACACAAGGTTTGTGCTACTATCCAATCCTTTTTTGCACTTCGTGAGCTTTTTGAGAACATTAATCAAACTATTATTGCCTTTATTTTGAAAGTCCAAAATCCTTCAATTGTCTCCCATTTTTGACCCATTAACTTATGTAACACCATCTATCAACTATGCTCCAAGACTCTTGTCACCCTCCTTAGACCTTTTCTCCATGCCCTTATTAACCCTCTCTAATCTAGCTTTATCCTAGGACAATAAGTTGTTGACAATATCATCATTGCATAAGAGCTCATTTCCTCTATGCATCAATGGAAGGGGAAAATTAGTGTCATGGCTATAAAATTGACCTCAACAAAGCTTTTAATAGCCTTGAGTTTTGACTTCATTCACAACTGTTTTTACCACTTTGGCTTTCCTCCCATATGGATTAAAATGATCATGAATTGTGTCACCACCACCTCTGTTGTTATCTATGTAAATGGCTCATTCTCAAGTGACTTTCAACCCTCTCGAGGCATTCGACAAGGTGACCCCACCTCCGCCTACATTTTTATCCTTTGCATAAAGTATTTAACTTTCTTGATTGAACAACAATGCCAACTTAGATGATGGAAACCCGTTAAAGCTTTTCGCAATGGTCCATCTTTCTCGTATATCCTTTTTGCTTATGGTATCCTCCTTTTTGGCAAAGCTAATCTCTCCAAAACCATGGCCATTAAAACCATACTCAAATCTTTTTGCTCTTGTTCCGGTCAATCCATTAGCTTCCAAAAATCCAAAATTCTTTTCTCACCTAATACTGATCGAACTGATTGTATTAACATGTTCTGTTCTAAGATTTGAATAAAATGTTAATCTAGGGAAGTATATGGGCATCCCTATTTTGAACTGTTGACCATCTAAAAAGGATTTTGACTTTATTTTGGATAAAGCCAAAAACAAGCTTACTAGTTGGAAATCCAAATTCCTCACACCGGTAGGTTGTCTTACCCTATCAACTCAACCCTATGTTCCTTCCCCCTCCATGTTATGCAATGTTGCCTTCTACTTGCTTCCACCACCAAAACTCTTGATAAAATTGTCTTTGACTTTCTTTGGCTTGATGACCCTAATAAATGGAGGATTCATCTTATTGGGTGGGACACGGTCTGTCAACCAAATCACAAGGGGGACTAGGCATTAGAAAGTGCTGTAACATTGCCTACCTTCTTAAACTTATTTGGAGATTTAAAATTCAAACCCAGAGCCCCATGAGTTCTCCTCCTCAGTTTAAAATACTCAAGTCACCCACACCGTAATAAGTGCACCCACATTTGGAGAACTGTGCCCATTATTTTCCTAGACTTTTATAAAGGAATTACTTGGTGTATCAACAAGAATCATCAAGTGAATTTCCTCCATGATGACTAGTTGCCTTTTGGCCAAATCGCTTATAGTGTCTTTAGCCCCTTCTCTTCACATGAATCTTCTTTTACCATAGCTTACACCATTGCTTTTTTATCTTCTTTTGGTGACCTTCATTGTGTCTTCCCCCTTTCTCTTAAAAGAATTGTCATTTCCTACCTTGACCTTGCCAACTCAAATGAGAATGATCTTCTTGCATGGAAGAATTCCCTAAATGGCTTTTTCACAATTTCTTTTGCTTACAAACTCTCATGTAATGCTTCACCCAAACCAAATAACTGGCTTTGGGTGTGGAAAAGTCTAACCATCACAAAGATCAAGTTTTTCATCTAGCTCCTTGCTCACGATCGCATTGCTTCTCACCTTTTTCTTACTAATAGAGGTCTCCATATCCCTACTACATGTCCAAGATGTAACTCCATGGTTGAATCTACTATTTACCTCATCTGTGATTGCCCCTTTATCCCTCACTTTTAGAGCTCTCTTCCCATCCCAACCCCCTATTTCCCTAGTTTCAACCATGATCTTTTTAACTAGCTCTGAGCCAATTGCTCTTTTACCTTTATGTTGGTTCGCCCCCAAATTCCCTAGTCCACCCTCTTCTGCTCAACCTTTTGGTGTATGTGGAATGACAGGAACTCATTGTTCTTTATACATCAAACCAACCTTTAGCAAATCCCAGCTAAATCTCTAGCTTTTGCCATGGAATTCTGGTCTTTGCACCCCCACCCAATCTTAAACTCTTCATATAGTTTTGTCCTTATTAAATGGGTTCCTCCCTATATTGGATGGATAAAACTTAACTTTGATGGTTCTTCATTTTCAAATCCTAGTAAAGCTAGTGTTAGAGGCATCCTCCATGATGACTAGGGTACTTGGATTAAAGGTTTTGCAAAAAACCTTGGACATGAGTCTAACAGTGCATCTAAGTTACGAGGGATTAAAATAGAACTTAAGCTAACTCTCCAATTGGGTTTTAAAAGGATTGAAATTGAATCTAACTCCTTAGTTGCTATTAACATTCTATCTGTCACGCCCCAAAACCCAAATTCGAGACGCGACAGACGCCGTGCACTCGTGAGAGGGTCCCACAAATGCACAAGGCTCGGAACTTACTGAGTTCATACTTAGCAATTCAGGTAATTCAGATCTAAGCCTTTTTAATTATCAAATATTTACTAGTCAGATGTACAAAATTTATCACTTCATATATACAATCATGACTAACATTAAATTCTGTACACAAAATTTACTATGTCAAGCATGGGTGACTAACGACTTAGCTACAAAAACCTAAGTCCAAAAGTGCCTAGCCGTCTAGCTCGTCACTCCCCTGGGCTTCCCACGCGTCGGGTCTCACTACCTGAAATGGCGGACAAGGAAACCGTGAGATAAAAATATCCCAGTAAGTAAACATGGGTGCCCGGAATCAAAACTTAAAGCATGCCAAATAATCAGTTGAAACATAAACAGAGCGTTTCAATAGCAAACCATTGATGCAAACTAAAATCACATAGTGGTCTCCTCTATTAGTCATGGCCAGTGTTATAAACCTCCCACTGGCGAGCACATGATTACTAGTGTATACTCCCACTAGTAGGATATCACGAGCGAACCGGTTCTATCACTAACATGTCGACATGTGCTAGCATTTGTAAACCTCCCCCACTAGCGGGGTCACTAAATACATGACCACATCGGAGACAAAACCCAACAAGATTTACAGAAAACCACGATTCATGATCGTTCTCACTTTCAAAAATAAACCGAAGAATCTCATGTGGCATGCTTAATTCTAGAAAATAAGGAAAATAATAAAAGTTCAAATTCCCTTTTTAATCATGCTCAAATGCAAATAAATCCATTTAAACCTCGCCACCATCTCAGAAAACAATTAAAATATGCTTCAAAAATTTAAGGGCATTACCATAATTTACTTACCTTAATTTCACAGGACAGAGGGCCTAATCCGAGTGCTAAGGCCACAGGACAATCAAGGACTTAATCACAATATTTCCAAATTAATATCTATGTATATATAATTATACAATTACACATATACCATTTTCAAACTCATGGACAAGAATTTGGGAGAACCGGCCTTGACAGAAAAATGGCCAATTCACGGAATTCTCCCCTTTTTCTCTCGGACATCACACAACAACCAAACCCACTAATTTCCTACATAAATCATCAACCAAAACCCATTTTCAAATTGCCAAAACTCATCCCTATTTCAACAAAATTTTCGGACAACCCAAGCCCATTTCATGCAACCACTTAAACTCACAAATCAGCACTTAATCAACCAATTCTCGGAGACTAGCGAAGCTAACTTACCAAAAATTCCCAACAAGCAAAGTTGGAGCTAACGGGTATGGGAGGACCGACGGGAATTGGAGGAGCTTCCACGGGTTTGCTAGAAATTGGAAGAATAACAAGATTAGAGTGAGCCCAAGCCAAATTAAGAGAGAATAGATGAATTTCATGGCTGATTTTACCAGGAAAAACCGGACTCACACCCAGCTGTGGTCGGCGGCAAGGGAGGAAGAAAGCAGCAGATCCGGGATTCTTGGGTTGAGGGAGAGAGTTTTAAGCTCTAAATCTTGTTATTTAACAAGACAAGGGAAAGAATTTACCAAAATCTTACCAAATTTTCGAGAGGAGTAGGTGTTGGTGAAGGCTGGTGGTGTTCGGCTACAGAGGAAGAAAGAACAGAGCAGACGCGAAAATGGCTGGGAAGGAAGAAAGAAATAAGAAAAAGAAAAAGGGAATGAGTCAGCCGGCCTTATCCAATAACCTTTTAACCCCTTTAAAGTTTGAAAAATTGACAGTTAGGTCCATTAATAATGTTCCTTCACCATTAGGTCCCTAACTCAACTTTAATACTCTAGGAAATTTTGGGGTATTACACTATCCCACAAAAATACTGCTAGCAGATCTCATTGCTCATTAGTTTTTGGTTGTAGATCATTGATCTTACAGTTTGATGATGCTATTCTCCATCAAATTTATTGTGAAGCAAATGGTGTGGCCAATACATTTGCCAAGCACGGTGCATCAATGCATGAACCTTTTGTTGTTTTTGATTATGTTCCTAATTTTTGTGCTTTTTATTTCTCCCATGATCGGGATGGTTATTTTGTGTATCAAACTAATTTTTGTAAAACTTAATTTCTATCTATAATATTTCCCATTTGCACCAAAAAAAAAAAATAAGGCTAGTAAATACTTGATTAGGCATAAAATTGATACACTATAGGACATCATATTGTACCAGTTAATTTCTTGACTACATCGATCGAAAAGTTACATACTGGCCAAAAAAATGTGTACCAATAGTATATGAATTTAGGTTGGTACAAATTTGTAAGCCATTTTCACTAATAAAATAAATAAATAAAATAAAAAGGTGAATAAGAGGAAGGAGGCTATGAATCCGTGACTGCAAGGGTGATGTTGAATAATTTGGGGTTATGTGGAGGGGATAATGGTGGGAAAAAAACTGGAGGCAGTGCTGATAATTTATGGTTAGCACTGGTTTAATCGAATTTGCAGAGAAAGAGAGAGGAGAAGAAAGTTGAGAAACACTGTAATCTATGGTTAAATTAGCCAAAAAAAAGGGAGAAGAAAGTTGTGATAGATGGTAATCTTTAACTTCAAACCAAGGTTTTGAAAATCGGATTGGACCGGTCAGTTGAACCGATTGAACTGATACCCGATAGTATAAACGGTTCGATTTTATCTTTTAAACCGTTTGAAGATCAAACCGTTTGAAAACCGATAAGAACCACTCAAACCGAAAAACCGTTCGACCAGATGGTTCAACGCTTGAGAACAAAAACTTGAGAAATTTGTCCCCATGAAGCTTGAACTTGCAACCTTGAAGTCCTTATAGTTTATTCCAACCCTTTGCCACCAAGACAATGCACGTTGTTTGTCAATAGATGCTTGAAATTTTATTTAGTCTATTTTTAAAACCATAATTATTTAAAGTTTGTTCATAAGGGTACTCGAACCTGTGATCTTTGGTATGAGAAAGCAACCACCTACCATCGTACTCAATGGATATCTTGTGAAATACTTTACAAAATAATATATTTATACTATATTAATGAATCAACGGTTTTATTAATTAAACCAATTAAACCGATCAAACCATGAACCAAAGGTCAAAACGGTTTGACCTCCGATTTGGGTTTAAAAACATTGCTTCAAACCTTCTTCAACTTTGAAGTTAGGTGACCCAGTAATGGGGGGAAAGGGTCAACGATGAGAGAGAAGGCACATCATTTTTTGATGTATTTTTTTTACTCATTTTAATATTTAAAAATTATATTAAATTTTAATTAATTTAAAATTAAATTAAATTAAATTTTATAAAAATAATTTTTTTAATATTTATTTTTTATTTATAAGATTTAAATTTAAAATTTTATTTAAAAAATTAAATTCTTTTTATTTAAATAAACTCGTGATTATTTTTTTGAAGTATTTTTTAATAATAGATTGAGACATGGCATAGGCATGGACACGTGGTTGGTGAGCGTGAGATTTAGACGAAATATTTTTCGGGATACGGAATGACAATGAGGTCTTATAGCACGTTTGGAACTATGGATTGGATTGGATATGATTCTGAAGATAGGATTGAATTGGATTATATAGGATGAGATATATTTAAATTTAATTTTATTACATATGATATAAAGTAGATATAAATATTTATTTATATAAATTAAAATATTCTTGTATTAAAGGTATTATAATTATTTTTTAAAATTTTATTCTTATATAATTTGTTTTACAATAATCAATTTACTTTTTATAATAAACAATTAATTTAGTACCGATTAAGTTAGGAATTTATTAAAAATAAAAACAATTGTCATTAATTACATGGACAAAAACATTAAAAAAATCCAAGTTAAATATTATCAATTTTCCTTTGTTTTCTTGGAAACCAAATAGCTAAATACTAAATTAATAGTAATAAAACCAATTGATATTTATGTTACTCATACCCAAACTTCAATTGAAATCAATACTAAATTCTGCATAAGAAATTAATAGGTGCGGTTTAGAAATTCAAAGAAAATAACCAAAAAAAAAAGAAAGAGACTTCATTGAATTACTGGGTAAAAAATGAACCAAGATCAATAGCAATTGTCAATTACCCCCACTGCCCTCTTTCATCCCATCTTCCATTTACATCAAGATCTGTGAAGTTCATATTTTCTCTGGTGACATCTTGTCTCAGATTTGTGAAATCCAAAGCATTTTGCTGGTGAGAAAACCCATGAGGTCATCTAGCAGAAGAAGATGGGTAGGTGAGTTTAATAGGAAACAAAATAACATCGACGCTTGAGAAATCTATTACCATGCCCTGTGAATCTGTGATTGACGTCGACGAATTCCATCTTCAATTCAACTATTAAAATGATTTTTGATGTTTGAATAAAAGATACAAAATTGGAGAAGTCGCGATGAAGACAGGGACAAAAAAGAAAAATCACATCTTATCCTGAGTAATCCCATGGGGTAGGAGGGATATTTTTTCTATTATGAACTCAGGATAGTACAAAACATTGGACAACAGTTATCTCATCCGATATCCGCCCCAAACATGAGACATAAGGACACTGGATATAAATTTCATCCTATCCCATGTCTTATCTGGTATTCCAAACGTACCATTAAAGAATAAAAAAAAAAAGAGTGCCCTTCCACTTTCTTAAAAATTGCATAATGA